TTGGGCCACGTTGTCTCAAGAGACAGAGTCACGGTAGATTCTTCAAAAATTGAAGTAGTGTTAAAGTGGGAACAACCTAGGAACGTTTTCGAGATTCATAGCTTTTTGCATCTTGCCAAATATTATAGGCGGTTTGTGAAAGATTTTTCTATCGTAGCAGCACCACTAACCAAATTGACTAGAAAATGGGTGAAATTCGTTTGGAATGAGTCATGTGAAAAGTCTTTCTTAGAATTGAAGCCTAGATTGACCTCAACACCAATCTTAATTATCCTGGAGAGAGGGTTGGGTTATACAATTTACTGTGATGCTTCTAGAGAGGGTTTAGGGTGTGTTTTGATGCAAGAAGGTAAAGTTGTGGCATACAGTTCCGATCAACTAAAAACTCACGAGAAACTACCCCACTCACGACCTTGAATTAGCCAGAGTCATTTTTTCCTTGAAGCTTTGGAGACATTACCTCTATGGAGAGAAATTTGGCGTATTCTCAGATCATAAGAGTCTCAAGTATTTATTCTCCCGAAAAGATTTGAATTTGTGCCAAATAAAATGGATGGAATACCTTGAAGATTTTGACTTCAAATTACATTATCATCCTGTGAAGGCCAATGTGGTGACCGATGCTTTGAGTAGAAAGTCGACGAGTTTGGTTGCAACCCTTGCCTATGGGAGTGGAAGATGTTGGGTGAACTAAATGAGTTTGATGTGCAAGTTGAAGAATCACCTAGTCAAGCCACCTTGTTTTCAATTCTGGTTCAACCAACACTAGTCACGCTAGTTTTAGAAACATAGCAAAATGATCCAGAAGTGGAAGCGATTAACGATAAAATCCTGCAAGGGAAAGAAGAAAAAGGGTTGAGGGTGTATTCCGATTTGTAGATCACCATTTTGTACCAAAATCTTGTAAAGATGACGTACTTCAACAATTTTATCACTCCCATCTTGCGGTCCATCCTAGGGGCACGAAAATGTATCGTGATTTGAACCGCTAGTTTTGGTGGAGAGGCATGAAGAAGGATGTAGCCTTATTTGTGTCTAAATGTCTAACTTGTCAACAAATCAAAGTGGAGCATCAAAGACCAGCTAGGTTGTTACAACCCTTACCTGTAGCTGAATGGAAGTGGGAACACATCATGATGGATTTTGTTTCGGGCCTTCCTAAAACTCATAGGGTAATGATGCCGTTTGGGTCATAGTAGATTGACTAACTAAGTCGGCACATTTTCTTGCAATGTGTATGGGCGACTCAGTGGATTACCTAGCAGAACTCTATGTTAGGGATATTGTTCGGCTTCATGGGATTCCAGTGAGCATTGTCTCAGATAGAGATCCTTGTTTCACGGCACGGTTTAGCAAATACAAACCATTATAGGGACTTAGTTGACCTTTAGTATCGCTTACCACCCTCAAACCGATGGTCAGTCTGAACGTACCATTCAAATTTTAGAAGACATGCTGAGAGCCTGTGTTCTAGACTTTAAAGGGCCATAGGAAAAATATTTGCCATGAGCTGAGTTTGTCTACAACAATAGCTACCAAGCCAACATTGGAATGGCACCTTTTGAAGCCCTATATGGGTGTCCCTATAGGTCACCGGTGTGTTGGGATAAGGCAAGAGATTCATCCATGCTTAGACTAGATTTGGATCGTGAAACCATAGAAAAAGTAGCTATCATCCGGAAGAGGTTAATCATGGCACAAAGCTGACAAAAGATCTATGCAATAGGGGGAGACAGCCATTGTCTTTTGAAATGGGTGACCATGTGTTTTTGAGGATATCACCTAGAAAATGTTTGATGCGATTTGGCCAAAGTGGAAAGCTATCATATCACCTATGTTATTGAACGAGTAGGAGAAGTTGCTTATCGCCTTGCCTTGACGTGTTTCACATCTCAATGCTTCGCAAGCATGAGCCCGACCCATCTCATGTCTGGGCGAACCTTGAAATAGATGAAAATGTTTCCTGGGAGGAGAGACCGATAAAGATCCTAGACTCCCGAGAACAAGTTTTGAGAGGAAAAACTATACCTCTAGTCAAAGTGTTATGGCATCATCATGAAGTAGAAGAGGCCACTTGGTAAAGAGAAGCTGAAGTTCGTGAAAAATATCCTGACTTGTTTAACGGTGTGTAATTTTGTTGCCCTTCTTGGTTGTAATAATATCTTGCGACTTAGTTAGTAAAACAATGATTTTGCATTGATTACCGAAAAGCTTGAAATTATACGTTGTGATGTGAATGTTGGATTGATTCTACTTCCAATGGATGACAATTGATGATTAGGTTTATTATAAGAGTAGCAATCCTTTTTCTTGAGAGCTATTGGGATTGCTTTAACAGGAATTAAAGGAAATTTCGAGGACAAAATTCTTTAAGGAGAGTAGGCTGTAACAGTTGAATTTGGTAGACCGCTCAAGTGGTCATTTGGTTACTCGAGCGAAGATCATTTTGCAAGCGAGACCGCTCGAGCAATGAAGTGGTCGCTCGAGCTTAGATTTCATGCTCCCAGTATTTTTATTATAGCTTTACAAAACTTTTTGGGACCTCGCATTTACCGCTAGAGCGGTTAAAGTATCTCTTGAGTAGTCTCTTTGAAATTTTATTGTTTGCTGGAGCAAAGAAAAGTTCGCTCAAGGGGTCTATCGAGGCAGCTAACTTAAAGAGCCAATCCAACTCATTTCTTTTTCATTTTTTCAAACACACACACACTCTCTCTCTCTCTCTCTCACACACACACACACACACACACACACCCATTCCGTAACCCTAACCCCTAAAACACTTGATTTCTCAGCATTTTGCTCTAGATTCACCCTAGATCCTTCAAGATAATTGAAATGCAAGTCAAGTTCAAGCTTTTTACCGGTTGTTTCGCGAAATTGGTTGAGGTTTCACATGGACTCTCCACTTTAGCTTCTAATTTTGAGGTAAGGGTGTCTTTAACATGTTATAGCTTCACTTTGAAACTCATATGTGGCAATTTCATTAGATACTCATCCTATATATATATGTGTGTGTGTGTGTGTGTGTGTGTGTGTAGAGGTTGTTTTGTGTTAGTGTCAAAAGTGAGAAATGTTTCATGATTATGGAAGGAATGTGTTGATTATTGATGATTATTGTTTTTTGTAATGAACATTAGCTTGAATCTCATGAAAGGGAGGAAATCCCAAATTTTATATAAAATCTTAGTTTTGGAAATTGTTCAATAAAAAAGGGGGTTTTACTAATTGAATTCAAAAACATGAAATTGAAGGCATTTGTTTAACTTTGAGGTTGAAATGTATGATTTGAAATGTTTATATATATATATATATATATATACTTTGTGATAATGATTTTTGTTGAATGAGAAACCCACATTAGACCTTCATGGTCCCTTCGATTTAGGACTTCGGGACCCTTCGTTCTCTATTGGATGCACCATGTATAATGTTTTGACATTGAATTTTGTTATGAATTCGATATATGAGCAATTTGAAAATGTATGGATTTCGACATGACAAATGTTCGGTCTGAATTCGTTATATGATATTTGGAAATGCAACATATGGCAAATGCTTTGTTTTGAAAATGATTTCAGATTTGTTTTGAAATTGAAAGACATGTTTTATATTATGTTGGATTTCATTCATTAACCTATTTATTTTGATATTACTCACTGGGCTCTAGCTCACCCCTCTCCCTTATATATATGTAGGTGAACAACTGGAAGACCAATATTAGAGATTGTCTTGGAGTCCGCACTTTTGTCAAGCCACGCAAGAAGTTCCTCTGTGATGAGGTTTTAGTTTTTGTTTTTGTTAAGATTTGTATTATGTTTAAGTCTTATATGTGTGTGAGATGTATAAGATATGTCTTGTATATGTATATATTAAGAATATGATTAAATGTTTTAAATATTTCAGTTTATCATGTATGCACATCTCAATGGACATTCTTATTTTTGTTTTGCTTCCGCTTCAGGCCCCGACATTAATTAAATATTTTCGGTCATGGCCCAAACCTCTAGGGGCGAGTTTGGGGCTGTGACATGTTCATTGTTTGATTAGAATATTTTCAAACTTGTAAACCCAAGAGTATAAACTTCGATATATGTTGGAGGATAGATTTATGGCAAATCTAAGAGTATAAACTTCGATTCAGATGACTTTGTTCTTAGTTTCTATCAAAATCAAAGAACCCAGTTTTTCTTGGATTGAAAATTGTTCTCAATTAGGGTTTCAAATTGATTCAATCAATTTTCACTGTCGATGATGGAGGGAGAGGGATTGTCCTTCTTCACTGTTGATGGAGAGGATTGTTGTCGTCCTTCACTGTTGATGAAGAGGGTGGGCAAATGAGGTGGGTGTGCATAACTTGGTGATGATATTATAAATATTAAATAGGAGTAAATTTGGTATTAAGTGGGGTGTTGAAAGAAATATTATTAAAATTGAATTTTTTAGGTGTGAGTTCAAAGAAATGAGAGGTCCAAAGAATAAAGATAGGTGTTAATAGCAATACTCTTTTTTTCCTTCGTCACTCTCAAAATAAACATGCGAGACACATTTTCTGTTAGTTTAAATGGAAAATGTAACTGCACCATTTTAGTCCAAAACCACATATGAGGCATGTGATTATTAAAAAAACGTAGATAAAACGCTATCATACCATAAAGGGATAAAAAAAGGATTTTGCCCAAAAATATATATTAGGTATATATATAACCTCCTTGGTCATCCTATCAAAGTTTTCAATATGTAATCCAAACAAATGAATCTTACATTATACTATTTCAATCTCTATCATACATACATTCGCGGAGAAATTAGACCCTTTTTTCTGGATTTCTAGACTATCTGTTACTGCTGGTTAATATTTCTTCAGTCTCTTGATTAAATACAAAAATAACTAGCTGGATATTATATTATGAAGATAACGACTTCTCTTCTCAAAGCAATAAAAATATCTCACCCAAAAAATAAAATAAAATAAAATAAAAAAATAAACGAAGAAGAAGAAGAAAGAAAAAGACAGAAAAAGTGCAATATTATAAAATCATTATTTACAACTCAAAATGTTCATACACTTGAATTACCCTCTCCCACTAACGACATAAACCTCCATTTCTCTGTATACATCAAGTTCACCGGAACGACAAAACCATACACCCCTCTCGTCTTTTATTTATTTATTTTTTCTTTCCTTTCTCTCCAAATATCTGAATGTTCCTCCCTTGATTGAGTGGTAAAAGTTCAGAATGACAATAGCATTATTAGGACTTCCGTTGATTGCTGTGGACTTCTGTTGTGCCATAATCATCATTCGGAGGCTTCTGATAAGACTCAATATCCTTGCAATCTGTATCTGCAAATTTAAGGAAATGTTCAGTATCATTCTCAGCGCTGCCAGTTCTCCTGTGGAACCATTTCCGGGTTGTTTTGGGCCTTCTCTCACTAATCGCAATAGCAATGTCATTTGGGAAAAGGTCTCGTAGCACAACGGCATGTAGGATAGTCGTTACAAGCAATGATGTCACGGTGAGTGTGGCAATGCAACAAAGTATAACAGATAGAGATTTTGTTACTATGTTTGGAACCTCATTAGAGTACTTGATGGTTGCAATGGCAGCACCAGTCATCGGGAAAGTGTAGGCCCACCAACCCAATGAGAACCTACGCATTCCAATAAATTAACCTCAGAAAACTAAACCAAAAGAGGGATATATGATAGGTAGCCAAAGACTCAACTAATACTATACCTGAACCCCCGAAAAAAATTAACACGAACAGCCTGTAAAAATACAGAAACAAAGCAGACACATTAGCGAGCCAAACTATTACATAATGAAATTTACCATAAAAGAAGTCATGCGCACGAATCTATCAGGACAACAAGCTCCGTATTCTCCCATTGATGAGGCAAAACAAGTTGAATACTCTATATCCCTTCCACAGATTGTAAACATGCTTTCCTTCACCAATTATGGTAGCTTTTCCAGGAGAGAGAAAATGAGACTGAGTAGGGCACTTGCCAAAAAATGTCCATACTAGTCTTATAATGATATTTAACTCCAAACTAGGAAATGCTTATCCCAGTGTAATAAAAGTAATCAGTGAAGCTAAACCCAGTTCTGGTGTCAACATTTCAATCACTACTGTAGATAATGAAATCCCTCAAACAAATTTATGTGCCTAGCGGAGATCGAGGACAACAATGTTGGTAAATGCTCATGCTATTGAGTGAAAGGCAGACTAACCAGTGAGAAATAAAGAAACAAGGCAATAAAGTATGCAATCCGCGACCCATAATCAAAGGATCCTTGAATATTTGCCCATGCCATAGAAGCGACACTTGGTGCTGCAACAAACAGAAAGAAAACTGGATGGAGCTCCTTCGGGAGTGTCTCATTTGTTGGAAGTCTTTGGTAGAGCGTTACAAACAAGACCATATAGTGAGACAATCCAATAGCAAAGAAGAATATTGGTCCTTCTTTTAGCCCCATCGATGCGCCCAGTAACGCCCCCACAAAGTTCCCAACAATAGCAAGATGATTTGAAGGATTGGCCACCTTTGAAAGCCTCCTTTGTCCTCCTGACATCCACTGTCCATAAATCTTAAGCTCTAGACAAATGATTGGTGTCATAAGAATGTACCAGAGAGAGGAAGGTAGGTTTTGAGTAACTGATGGTGGAACTCCGAGAGCTAAGAACAACAAGACTATCCATGGGGCAAAAAAGAAGTTGACACGTATGGGGTGATAATATTCACGACGAACTGCTTCAAAGTAGAATATCAATTTGAGCATGTAGATGAAAGAGACAATGGCTACAAGAGCAACTGAAATGTACCAGAGGATAAGGTTTACATTTAGGCTTATGCGAAGGAATTTTGTGCAAGAAGTAGTGGCCAAGGCTTTCCACATAATGGCTTGGCTGCTAACTCCGAGGCCAATACCAAATGAAGAAATAGGATAGCGAAGAAGAAACGGCCATTGCTTGTCTTCTGGAAGCAGTATTTCCTCTGAAGCCTGTCAAAAGAAAATGACTAGTTATTTAACATTTCTAAGTCAACTATCAATGCTGATAACAGGGGAAATAGCAAAATCACATTGCAAAATCCAACAATGTTGAACAAAGAGAACCCAAAACAATGATATTAAAAAAGTTCTGAAGAATGTTCACTATTTTTTAGTATATTAATTCATTTAATTATATAGAAGTGCTCCATTCATTTATGGAATGATAGGTTGCCCAGCAATAAATCACAACCAATACAAGTATATCTTCATTAATTATGTACGAGTATAACCTTTTGGTCACACTAGCTTGATTTACAACGGACGGTGGGCAAACCTGAAAATTATTTGTTAAAGGGAAGCACACACATGTATGGTCGAATTATATACACAACATGAAATCTAAAGTTTTCTGGGAAAGGTAAGGCTGGTAAAGAACTAAATAACAAGTATTTTGCAGTGCAACACTTGGATGAGGATGGATGGACACGTTTACAATGTACAAAAATTTACAAGAAAAAGCTCCTTGTTTAATCAAAAATCAATTTATCATCCGATGACTAGAACTTACAAATTGTGGAAATTGCAGCCTTGCACGGTGTATCCAATTCAGAAGGTCCAGAAAAATAAAATTATATGAATAAACAACATGAATTGACTTGCAGAAAAGGGTTGGGGATAGGAAATACATACCCTGAGGGTATCTAATTCTGGTCCTTCCAAAGCATCAAAGTATCGATCTACAGGTAAAGTCTCCATCTCCACATTCCACACAGTGTTTTCCTCTGTCCCAGTTTCACGAGGCTTTCCACGTAAATGTGAAAGCTGCTTCTCAAGCTTGCCAGACCATGTTTTGAAAGAATCAAACCTTTTATCCTTCAGCCTATCAATCCTTGGATTCTTTGGTGGAAGAAGCTCTGGGCAGTTCGGAAATTTTCCAGTTGCAACTGCCTCATCAAATGCAAAACCTGCTGGCATTGGCTGAGAATAAAATTTTGCCTGTTTAGAGCCAGCAGTAGATGTAGCAGACAAATTTGAAATATTATTGTTGTTGAAAATTGGCCCATCGTCATCTCTGAAGAGAACTTGTTTAGTGCTCTGTAAGTGAACTTTCAAGGGGGAAGCGGGCATGCTGATAGAAACATGATGCAGTTCCTGGGACTGGGTACAATCACTCTGGCCTTGGACAGCAGCTGTTGCAGTTCCCTAACGTAATGAATCAAGAAACAAGTATGCCAGGATACAGTAATCATATATCAGTCACAAATCCTCTCTACTATAAATTAGAAGTGATAACAGATCAGGTAAACATTTTTCCAATTTATGCAATAAACAACACAATAAACAACATAATATATTGCCCACAAATGGTATCAAGGAGCATATTTGTTTTGAGAGCCAGAGACAGCAATATGCATTGGCAAGAAGATTTTTCACAAAGAAGAAAGGATTGGACTGTAAAAATAAATCCTTCACCATACTTTTTTTCTTTAAATTTCTGTCATCCTTTTTTCTCTAAAAGAATTGAAATCTGCATTAAAATTTTTGTTTTAAACTTAGCTATCTCTATGAAAATTCACATCTAAAGTATTTCTTAAACAGCCCCTTTCCTCTTATCTTCTTTCTAATCTTTTACTGAGTGAAAGTTGTTACAGCTACATCTATCAGTCTTAACTGCAAATAGGTATGAAAATATGGGAAGGGAAGCTTTAAGCAAGAAAATTTGATACAATTCATTTCAATTGTAACAAGTAGTCATTATGATTGATGCTTCCTAGTTGAGTTCATGTGTGTATGAAGCAGGGCCGGCTCTGACATATTCAGGGCCCAAAGCGAACTTCATATATGGGCAGCCTTTCATACATTTTTAAAAAAAAATTTGTGACCAAAAGATTATGTATCTTTTTTTTAAGACAATATTTATGAAAAGGCTACATCTATATATAATGATTTAAATATATATAAAAAAAAAAAAGAAGTTTACCATAAGAAAAACTACCAAATAATCCAAACTCGAGTAATAAATAAAAAAGTGAACAAATTGTAATAAAATATCACTTAAATATCATTCATTTTCACAATTTTAATTGCAAAATTGTTAATCCATTTAATTTGTTTTATGACATAGTTGACTGAAAGTAAAATTTCATCAACTTTAAATTTAAAAAATTTCTTTCCCCATAAACAATTGGTTTTTTTTATTTTTTGGGGGAAAAATAATCATCTATTAGCTTTAAATAATTCACTACATCAACTATTTATTAATTTTGAATTTTCACCAAACTTTATTGGGGCTTTTTAAATACAAATATATATTTTTTTTTTTTAACATAGTTTTTTTTTTTTTTTTTTTTTTAAATTGAGGCCTTTTTTCCATCAATTTTTGGGGGCCCAAAGCGGCAGCTTTGTGGGCTTTGGAGTATCAAGCTCAAGATTACTAAGTCCACTTCGTAAGCTGAGAGTGTTTAGCTGTCTTTCTTGGTGTGGATTGCCACAAACATATCTATGAAGACGGCATTAGACATTAAACTCCATGCAATATGTCATTTACTGAAATATAAAAGGGTGTTCTAAACATTTATGGTAACATATAAAATGGATGAAATAAATGGCGAGTAAATACTTAAAACCAAGTTAAGTTTCATAACTCTGCTGAAATAAATGCAACTTAAACGAGGTTATCATGAAGACTAGGTCTTGTCACAAGCTATTTCAATCTTGAATCATGACAAGCCATGCACCAGAGCGAGCTTAGGTAGCTTCATCCTTATGAACCTCTACACAATATATCCTTTGGAATACCACCAGTAGTTTACAAATCTATCACAAGTATGAAAATCATAATATGAATGCTTATCTATGTGTATGCCAGACCTGTCTGGACCATTCAAAATGTGAACAATGAGTATATTGTGAGGAAAATAATGCTTTTTCCTCTGGCGGACAGCACAAAAGTTAAAAAACTTACAGTTGCTGAAGGACTGAAAGAATGACAACGAGTTTGTTGATATGAATTACCCATCATTTTGAGCTCTTCAACACAATCAAAGCCAGCCACTTCAGTTGCTGATATATATTTGATGAGTGGTGGAAGTACTTCAGAAGAATCCTTCTTTGACAAATCCAAATGTTCGCTGCTTTCCATGATAAAGCTGTTGGGTGCAAAGTGTATTTGTGTGAATTACGTTGAGACCAAATTCTAGAGAGAGAAATTTGCAAGACCAAAAAATATACAAAAGGAATTGTGTGTGTGTGTGTGTGTGTGTGTGTGTGTGAGAGAGAGAGAGAGGAGAAAAGAGAAACTCTTGTATCCAATTTAAATAATGAATAGGAGAGAAGATAAGGTATATACAGAAAATATACTATATAACAAATAACGTATATACAGAGAATATACTATATTTAACACCCCGCTCAAGCTCAAGGTGGTAATGCAAATATCAAGTTGAGCTTGGAAAGTAAATCAAAAAATTGTCCTGGAGGATTAGCCTTGGTGAATATGTCAGCTGTCTAACTAGCAGAGGTAACAAAGATAAGATGAATAGTGCCATTAGTAACGTGTTGCCAGATGAAGTGACAATCAATCTCAATATGCTTGGTGCAATCATAGAGGACATCATTATGTGCAATCTAAATAGCACTTTGATTGTCACAATAGAGGTTAGTGGCAGCAGGATGGGAAATTCTCATATCAGTAAGAAGCCAATGAAGCCACACAAGCTCTAGAGTAGTATCCACAAGAGAACGATACTCAGCCTTAGTACCAGAACGAGCAACAATAGTTTGCTTCTTGCTACGCAAGGCAATGAGAGAATCACCCAAAGAAGAAGCAGAACCCTGTAATAGAGCAGAGGTCAGTAGGATTCCCCGCCCAATCTGCATCAGAAAATGTATGTAACTGTAGAAAAGTGTGCGCTAAGTAGTGAAGACCATGAAACATAATGCCTTTTAGATAGCTCAAAATGCGAACTAGAGCATCATAGTGCGGAGAGCGAGGAGCAACCATGAACTAACTGACAATGTGAACAGCATAGGCAATACCTGGACGAGTAACCGTGAGATAAACAAGACTGCCAACTAGCTGACGATATAAAATAGCATCAGATAATAGGTGACCATCAAGAGGTGTGAGACGAGTCTGAGGATCAACCGGAGTATTAGCAGTCTTGCAATCGGTAAGACCAGCACGAGCCAAAAGATCAAAGATATACTTGGCTTGGGTGAGAAAGTAACCAGAAGGATCGTGAGAAATTTCCAAGCCGAGGGAGGAAGTAACTAAGCAAACACAAATCTTTCTTCTCAAACTGGTGACTGAGAAACTACTTGAGACTAGAGATACCAACTGTGTCATCTCCAATGATGATCATATCATCCACGTAGAGAAGAAGAAGAAGAATACCACACTCTGTCTGACACATAAACAAGGCAAAATCATAGGCACTGGACAAGAAGCCAAAGTCATGAATGGTAGAATTGAACTTGGCAAACCAGGCACGAGGAGTTTGTTTCAAACCATACAAAGCACGGCGAAGTTAGCAAACTTTGATGGATGGAATAGAGGAACCAGGAGGAAGTTGCATATAAACTTCCTCAATGAGATCACCATTGGGAAAGGTGTTCTTGACATCCATCTGATAAATACTCCAGTAACGAGCAGCAGCAACTGCTAATAAGCTGTGAACTGAAGTAAGACGAGCAACATGAGCAAATGTTTCCTCATAGTCAATCCCATACTCTTGAGTGAATCCTCGGGCAGCAAGACGGGCTTTGTAACGTTCAATGAAACCATCAGAATGAGTTTTGATCTTATAAACCCATTTACAACTAACAACAGTCTTGCTAGGAGGAAGATCAACCACGTCTCAAGTATGAGTTTTATCCAAAGCCTGCAGTTCATCAGTTATAGGTTGCTACCAAAGAGGGTTAGAACAAGACTCACGATAGGAAGTAGGTTCATAAGAGGAAAAAGCAATGGAATCAACAATATAATCACGGAAAAAAACAGAAGGTTGTTTTACCTGAGTCGAATGACGATCTGCTGGAGGAGATGGTGGTGGGGATGGAGAAAGCTCCATAGGAGATAATGGAGGAGGCTTCACAGGAGGTAATAGAGGAGGCATAGAACCATCGTCAGATACAGAAACCTTATGATTGACGGTAGGCATAGGCAACTGTGAAGATTTTGGACCGGAATCTGCATCAAAGGCAGGAGACATCAAGTCTACAGAAAGATCAGTAAAAAACGGGGAATGGGTGGACTATGGTAGGTGAAACTTAGTTAAAGTATAGAACATTTTATGTTCCCAGAAAAACCACATGACGAGAAATATGAAGAAGCTTGGAGACTGGATCCTAACAGCGATACCCTTTATGTTATATACCATATCCCAGAAAACAGCAAAAACGAGAACGAGGTTCTAGTTTAGTGTGTTCATGAGGTTGAAGGAGAACAAAACAAGCAGAGCCAAAAACTTTAAGAGTGGTGTCTGTAGGAGGAGAACCATACAGACTTTCATCAAGAGAGAGATTGACTATGAGAGGAGTAGGCACACGATTTTATGGTGTAGACAGTAGTGACAGCAGCTTCCCCCAAAAACTTTTTAAGACATGAAAAGGAGATAAGAAGGGCCCGAGTAGTGTCTAGAATATGACGATGTTTTCTTTCGGCGCGACCATTTTGTTAGAACGTGCCTGCACAAGAACGATGAGATTGGGTACCATGTGCCCGAAGAAAGGAAAGAATATCAGAATCCAAGTATTCCATGGCGTTATCAGAATGAAAGATTTTAATAGTTCAAGAAAATCGAGTGTGGACCATGGCAGAGAAATCATAATAAACCTATTTAAGTTTAGACCGATTTTTGAGAACACATATCCAAGTATAACGAGAAAAATCATCAACAAAAATCACAAAATATCTAGAACCCCCATGGTCGGGGTGGGGGAGGGTCTCCATATATCGGAATGCACAAGAGCAAACGAGGTAGTAGACATAGAAGTGCCTACACAAGAACGATGAGATTGGGTACCATGTGCCCGAAGAAAGGAAAGAAAATCAGAATCCAAGTATTCCATGGCGTTATTAGAACGAAAGATTTTAATAGTACAAGAAAATCGAGTGTGGACCATGGCAGAGAAATCATAATAAACTTGTTTACGTTTAGACCGATTTTTGAGAACACATATCCAAGTATAACAAGAAAAATTATCAACAAAAATCACAAAATATCTAGAACCCCCTCCCCCCCCCCAAAATGGTTGGGGTAGGGGAAGGTCCCCAAATATCTGAATGCACAAGAGCAAACGGGGCAGTAGAAATAGAATTACTTTTATTAAAAGGTAATGCAAGCTATTTAGCAATTTGACAAGGTAAACAATCAACATTTTCAGAACTAATAACTGACCACTAGAAACCAAAGTTTTTAAACGACTAAAACAGACATGTCCTAAACGACAATGCCAAAGGTGAAAAGAAGACATAGAAGTAAAGGTAGAGGAAGAGGCAACAGAAGCAGCAGTGGATGATGTAGACGGAATGTGAAGATGAAGAAGCTCGAACAGACGTCCATGCCTACGGCCTATCCCAAGGATATGTTTCGTCTGAGGGTCCTACACCAAACAACCATTAGCTGAAAAGGTGACGGTGAGACCAAATTCACACAATTAACAATAGAGATAAGGTTTAATTTAAGAGCAAGAATGTGATAAACATTAGAAAGAGATATAATGGAAGTAGAAATTTGACCAATGTGACTAACAGACATATGAGAACCATCATCAGCATGTATAGGGGGAACAAAAGAGGTTGATGAAATAGAAGAAAATATAGTAGAATCAGAGGTCATATGATTACAGCAAGCGGGATCAAAATACCATGAAGGATTACCTAATGTGATTGAAAGAGCAGGGAGAATGAAGAGTACCGGATTTGGCAAGCACCTACTAAATAATGGACTCCGCATCGTCCATAGACAATGATGGAGCAATAGGATCAGTAGAGTGGTGAGTGCAAGAACGCTCTGGTGCAGCAGCGGCAGCGGCAGCAGAACGAGAACCATGAGCAGATTTGAACGGATGCCCAGAACATGAAGACCCTTTTCGGAATAAAGAAGCAGGGGTAGCTTGAGGAAAATTGCTTTGGAGATGACCAGGAGCAGTCTTGCAAGTCAAGCATTCACGAACTTAGCACTGAAGTAAAGAATGATTAGCAAGTAGGCCACGGTTGCGACAGTAAATGCATGAACTAGGAGGCTGTGAAGATGAAGAACCCTATGATGATGGCGTAGCAAGAACAGAATCCAAGTTTTGAGTTTTAAGCATTCCAAAACAAGTTTCTTCTAATAAGAGTTCGGTAATGGCTTGCTTCAAAGTCGGTACGGGCAAATGATGGAACAAGGAAGCACACACAGACTCAAAGGTGCTATGAAGAGCCATAAGAAACTGCAATAGCCGCTGATGATTCCTATGAACAATAAATAACTGTGCATCCTCATAATGTGCCCAAGTACGTTCAGAAAGAGCTAACTGGTCCCAAACAGATGACATCTAGGATAAAAAATCGTTGATGGACTGACCAGGCTCTTAGCGCATGTGATGAAGAGTTTGTAGGAGTTGATATTGGTGAGCATGTCTAGTAGTTTGATAGCGTTCGTTCAAGAAATCCCAAATTGCCTTGGCAGGAGAGACAATGAAATCATCATCCTCAAATTGTCCACACTGAAGGCTAATGGAAGGAACAGAAGTAGTCCGAAACCATGTGATAATCTAGTAGTTCTTCCCTTTCCATTCATCAAGACGCTTATCGAAAGCAAATACAGTCTCTTTTTTTTCCTGGACAAGTTTAGAAAGAGCACCAGTGATAATATGCCAAAGCCACTTCCCTTAGATGAATCCAGAGAGAGTTTGGGCCCAGAGAACATAGTTGGACCCATCAAATGTAACGGAGACTAAATAGATGTTGTCAAAACGATTCATGATGCTCAAACAGGGCCCAAAAAAAGGTCCTTTGTAGAGGTTGATTTTGCCAAAACAGAACACACCAGCAGATTGGGATATGGTCTGAAACATGACTAGAAAGGCAGTGAATCGGCTGGTCAAAGTGGTTTGACCAATTTGGTCAACCAGAACTAGGGCTGACATCACAAAAAGGGGG